TCTCTCAGAATCACGACAACATATCCTCAACGACAAGGTCATTGAGGAAGTTCTCCTCATCTCTTCATTTTTATATTATAAATAATTAAAAAAAAAATAGATAAGTTACACCTCCCCCGATTGATTATCGCTGCTGCAGTCGCAATAAAGATTTTTATTAAGAAAAAAACATTAAAATTCGGAAAAAACTTTGATGTAAATAATAACCAATTTTATGATTAATTGTGTATAAGCATTTTTAATTAATATAAATTAAATTGAATGGAAAACGCCATATTTGGTCAAAGCGATTCTTTGCATCTAATATTTCTTAAAATTTATACAATTTCTAGTTCAAGCAAGTGGATCTTCCAAGCTTTCGGGAGATCTGAGTTCGAATTCCAGTTGAGTAATTTTTAAAAACGTGTAAATAATGTATTGCGAAAAATATTAATTTTTCTCAATAAATTACTTATAGATTTTTAAAAATGCTTATTAGCATTAAAAATTTAATTTTTTTCAATATTTATAAGTTACTATAATTTCCTCGAATTATTTTAATAAAATATTTAATATAGATTATTATATATTAATATATTATATTAATACTTTATTTTGCTCATTTTGTTAAATAATTATAAGATTGGTACATATCATTAGTTAACTACGTACTATTTAATAATTACAATTTTACATCTAAAATGTGAAATTAGTAATAAATAAAATTTTATGATAACAATTTCTTAAAGAAATGTTATCTGACAGCTTGCACTTTATGTAAAAATAAAAATTATTATAAAAAAGTTATTATAAAAAAGGAAATATTCCATAATGTGTTTGCAAAAAAATATATAATTTTGTCTTCATTTATATAATCTTTATATTAATATTAACAAAAGGGGCAACAATTTCGTCAACATTGCTTTGTACTATACCTGAACGCAAAAATTTTAGATAATATGATTTCTAACTTTAAACTTACAATTAAAATACTAATAGCCTTGATATTTTGGTAAAATTTCCTCAAATGCTCTCAGAAATTTAACTTTATGTGTGTTGTAGTCTTTACGGGACATTCTGTATAAGTAATGAGATATAAATTAAATTTGTTTTATAATATGTTTTGTTTATAATATGTTTATGTGCGTATTTGGGCGTATAAATGTGTGTTATTATTTGAAAAGCTTAAAAAAATATAAATTTGTTCAAAATTTAAAATTTGTCTAAAATATCGTTTATTTATAATTTATTTATAAGATTTAGAATTTAGGTAGAATTCCATACAATCACATAAAATTAATATGAAAGTTCGAAAATCGTCAGTTATCAGAAATTGAACATCTATATCAAACTGAGTTCTGACGCGATAGTTTATCTTCATCGTCGTACGATGTATATTATATAATATATTATAGTTTCGCATCACACTAGCATGCGTGTGCACATATACTTGTACTCTGGCAGTGGGCTCGGCTCCGCTTAATACTCTGGTACTATGGAGTTCTTATCACAGAGATATTCAATTGTTTGGTGCACTTTTCTCTCTCTTTTCCAATGCTCTATTTTTTTCCAGCATTCCTTCTTGCGCTTAATTGTTTTCTTTCTTGTAATTCCACAGAAGTATCAACTAGCTACACCGATTAATATATTGTATTACAATTTCCAATTAAATAATCGATTTTGAATCTTCACAAAAGCGAATAACAATTGCGACGATACCATTAAGGTTCGATTTTCTTATTTGTCTTTTTGTCATTCTTGTTTTATAGCTTTTATAAACTGTATCTATTATATTTACATATAAAAAATACATATTAATATAATCGAAAGCATATGATTACAAAATTGAAATATTTCCAGAGACCCGCGCAGCTGGTTTTATTAAAATTAATCAATCTTGACCTTAATGTTTAACATAAAGTCTTTATCTCTTTCTAATAAAGAAAGCTTAGAAGGTTGCAAATGGAGTAAATTGAACCTACAGTTGAAATTTTGGTTGGTGGAAAAGTTGGCTGCGAGATCTGCGAAAATTTATCTTTTCTCAGAAAAGATTAGAAACAATAAAAATTTAATCCAAATGTTTGATTTACGAAAAATTTCAGTTACATCGTCATTATGCAAATTGTACTTATATTGCAACTTTTAACTATATTACAAATTGATCGTAATGTCGAATGGAATACATTTATTCCATACAAACTAATTTTTGAAAAAATTAATTATTTGTAAAAAAAATTCTTAATTTCCCAACCATGAAAAGAATTATTATAAAAGTTGTTGATTTTTTGAAAATCTTTAATAAATTAAATTTTTTACTTTAGGATTTCAAATTAAGATCACATAGGCAGATTCATCATGTGTATCACTTTTATAAAATTATGTAATACATAAACTGCCGAAAATAATGTACATGCTAAAAAATACATGACCTTAAATTTATCGTCTGCTCTTATTTAGTTAGCGAATATTCAACTGATGATGATGATACGATGATCGACACTCACTGGCAGCTCCCTGTGAACCGAATCGTGATGCTAACGAGGTAGACTGAGTCAGTCTTGTTAAGGCTGGCAAGAGAGATATCTAATCTTTGCGAACGTGCATTCGCTATGGCGAAGGGCTAGTCAATCGGCACGCGTGCGAGCGGACATGTAAATTATTAAAAAAAAAAATGAACGTCGCTTGCGTGCAACGATGAGGTAATATGTGTAAAGTTTGAGTTACAGCAATTCTTTGCTTTGCGCTCAACAAATATTCAGACGTCAATTTTTACACTTTCAACATTTTCTTCCATATCATATTACATTAGTAAATAATTGCGTAATGTTGATCAATTGTTGACCATAATATTCGGCAATTATGTGATCAATATTTATCTCAAAAAGTTGACTAACCATTTAAATATAATTTTAATCATTTTGTATGTTAATTATCGCTATACAAAGTTACTCCTTTGTCTTAAAAAAAAAAACAATTCCTTTATCTTAAAAAAAAACATATCCCCGATTAAATTCTGCGATAATTTTTCTTCTTGTAAAACTTTGTGTATGTCTGAAGTTTAATTTTTGAATTATAGAAGGAAATAGTTTATTATCGATCGATTCAGACCATCAGACACGCACGTTTATATGGAGAGTATCTTTGCTGTAATTTGCAGTTCATAATAAATCTATCTATTGATGAAATGCACTGTTGTTATCATCTTGTTTTATCCGACTAGTAACGAGCTCTTTCCTTTTGTAGTTTAAAAATTAAACATGGCAAAGTTTTGTAAGAAAAAAGTCATCTCAGAATTTAGTTAGAAATACAATTTTTCAAGAACAAAATGTTTTGAATTTATAATTTTGGTTTGTTGCCAATAGTTATCATACAATGTAGTTAATTTTAAGTAGCCAAATATCCCATAGCCATTCTAACATATTTCTCTTATACTTGAATGAACCACTAATGTTATAAACACATTTACTGAGTAAGTGGCTCTGTTTAATACTAAACATTGTGTATCAGATGTTTGTGTTACTCGGCTGTTGTATACGAATCACACAATGTTAAAAAGATGTAATCCCCCTCTTATAATAAATCTACCATATATATATTTAAAATATAGATAACACATATATAAAATAAATATAAAATATAAATATTTTAATAGCATTTAATTTAAATACAATAAAAATTTTTAATAAAGCTTTTAAAGAGGCATAAGTATGCGCGTGTACATATGTTTTAAAATTAACATTCTAATTTTCATAAAAAGGTTTCTGTTTTTTAATAACTTTTTCTTTTCTTAAATTATCTAAATTTTTCCCAAAAATTTGGTTTAATGAGGTTATGTTTTTTTGATAGCATACGCACTGCTACCTCATCATGCACGCTCGCGATTAGTGCGATCTTCTCTCAATCTAGTAATATATCCAATCTTTTTCTCTTTATGTTCCACGCATCCAATATATTACATACACGTAATGTTAAAGCCTCAAAAGATCAAGGAGCTATCGAATAAGATCAAGAAGGTAATTACGAGTGTTTTCGCCCGTAAACCATTAGGAAAATATATGCAGTACATGGATTGCGTTAATTGCTATTAAATATTAAGTAACAAACGCAGTTTTGATTGCTGAGCTAACTTCATGCAATCAGCCTTCTCAGATCATACTGATTACGAATGGAAAGATAAAACACTGAGTTGCGATTCACTTGCGTTACATTTAGCGTTTCATCGAAGAGGCACATGAGCTTTTCATTCCTAATTCTGAAAATGGAGAGCTTCCATATATGCCGAATGCAGCTTTGTATCGCAATTAACGAAAAAAGTTCATTACTCGTGCATTTTGCAATTATTTTCACTTGACATTGGGATATCAGTGAAATTCTTGACGATTTCTATGTACTCCTTGCACTCAAATTTGTCCTGACCGAAGAAACACACACATAAATCGACATTTCTTCCAATTTTCGATCTTGATGTTATCAAAGTAAAGCATTTTCAATTTCTAAAGTGACTTTCAAAGCGATTTCACAAAGCTTTTCTAACAGCTCCGACACATTCACTATGAAGCTCGCGCAAACTGAATGACAGAATTTTGCCTCTGTGAAGCCGTGATTAGGCTGCCACCACTACCGCCGCTATTCCTATATTCGCTCTCCATGGATTGAAGAATCATCTTGCTACGTTTTCTAGGCGGCAAAATTAACGTTTCTCGTGGTGGTATTACTAGATCCAAGGCCAAGTCAGGTGACGATGCTGGGCTCTCAGGATTACTGCACGGTGGCGTGAGTAACGGATCTCGATCAATTTTGACAATCCTGGCACCATATTCTTGTCTTTGTCGCTCTTCTTCAACCGCTTCTAAGGCAGCCTCAACCCTTCGGCGCGCGTCATTACCCGGCAAATTCAAAAGAGATGAGCAATCGGTAGTATCAAGATGAACACCGCCATTGGTGGTTAAACCGAAGTTGGCATACGCTGGTTCGGGATAGAAAAACACGTGATGAGTCATTGGTTCCATCGGCGTACTTACCACCACGCTTGCTTGAAAGCGCTTCTCGTCGATATCAGCGAACACGGGTTCTACCGTATTTGACGGTGATGTTATTATTGGTTGTGAATACTGCTGCTCTCTGTTGCCGGAATAAAGGTAGTATCCAAAGTCACGTTGAACAGTGTAAGCGTTCGATGTCGAATCCGAATAGGCCTCTTCAGTCTTCAGGTTTTCCTTGTCGTCGACAGCGATATCCGGTAAATCTAGAATCGCTGGGACCGTGACTGGGTCAAGATTGCTACTATTACCACCACAATCACCACCGCCGCTCTGAGAAATTTCAACATCCGGTTCGATTGGCGAAGCGATCGCTATTGGTGAGGAAATGTCGCTGTCTGTAATAGTAGAAGTGACGGATGCCGGTGATTCCGGATGCTTCTTGATATGCAGCTCCATTGTCTTCTTGGAACCAAAAGTCTCATTGCAAATCGTGCACTTATACACCTTTTCGCCATAGTGCGACACCTGGTGCAACTTGAGTACGTGGTTATAGCCAAATGCCTTGCGGCAAATGTCACAAGTGTAAGGTTTCTCGCCAGTGTGGGTGCGCGTATGCACTTTCAACTGCTTGGAACAGGTGAAACCTTTTTTACACGATTTGCACACGTATGGCTTCTCACCAGTGTGCGTGCGCATGTGTATCACCAGCTGGCCGCTTTGTATGAATGTCTTAGCACATACGGTGCATTTGTGCGGCCGTTCGCCAGTATGAATGCGCATGTGACGATGTAGCTTGCCACTATGTTCAAACGCGCGTTCACACACGTCGCACTTGTACGGCCGTTCCTTCGTGTGAATGCGCCGATGTACGCTGAGATTTTCCTTCACCGAGAACGACTTGTTACAATACTCGCATTGGTACGGTTTTTCGCCAGTATGAGTACGATAATGACGCGTCAGTCGCGCCGGTACCGCAAACGTCTTGCCGCAGATGTTACAGCGATATGGATCCTCGCTCTCCTTACCGTGCGATCTCAAGTGACTCTGATATACATTCTTCTGCGTAAAGCTCTTCTGACAGAGTAGACACTGATATTTTCCTATTTCCACCGTTGGACTGGCCAGATCTGCAGCTTCAACTCTGCTGCACCCCGGTGTGGTCGCGAATATTGTGAGATCCGGGCTGCACACCAAATTTTTCACCGAACTCATCGTTTCTAAGTTGGCAGTTATGCCCGGCGCCGAAATTGACATTACTGGATTTGACGGCACGGACTCCATCTAACAGTAGTCCAACATCGAGGACGGAAGACTAAAATAAAAACATTTAAAAGATCGATTTGAGAATCATTTTTTTTTGTTTGTTTACGTGGATGTTTCGTAACTCGTGTTTCATTGTATGATTTGTCAATATCATAATATAATTACTCTTTAGTATCTATAATCTGTTTGAAATGAAACTAAAAAAATACTCAAAAATATACACATATTTATTTATATGCATGTTTGTATTACTTTAAATAAAAGTGAGAATGATTCTTGCACACTATTGTAATTGCCCACTGCCAATCACTGTGTAAGGAGTTTTTTTTCTAGCGCTGTAATTGACTTATACGCAATTGGCCTATGTGCAATTAATAAAAGCAACTTAATTTATATGAAAATCAAAATACGATTTATCCTTCTACAAAATTGAAAAATAGAGAAAGAAAAAAAAGAAAATTCCAATAGCACACATCGCTAATTGGTCAATTTGAAATAAAATATTCTCATTAGTAAAGCAGTGAAAAGTTACTAGGCACCGGCCGATGTGAGTAGATGTGTACTATTGCACTATGCGTTAACGGAACCCTCTCGAAAAAGAATATCCTTTGAATCTGAAAAAGAGATCACAATTGGTAACATAAAAATAAAATCTTTTAGAACTTTCGGGAATATAGGTTTAAAACAGAAATGAGATGAAACAGGAATTTACTTTGTAAGTCGGAAATAAAGAAAAGAATTTTTTTCGAACATTGTGTGCTGACTGTACTATCTGGAAATGAAATATTCTAAATGTGAAGAGGCCTTATACACATAAATATGCAATATCATATCTTGCCACTGGCGCTTCTTTAAAAAAAAAAAACAATCAAAAGTCTTATAAGCAGATATATGCAAATCAAATTAGCAAGTCTTCCGGAGACTTCCAAGTTTTGAAGCGCATTCTGCCTTTACCTTTTGGAAGAATTGTAATGTGTTCTCAGAAATCATATAGTGTTTTTGGCCCGAATAATTTTGCACCAACCTGGGTTGGATTAAGATTGTTTTGTGCTCTACTATTGATAGAGCACATAATATCAACCAATAATGAGAGCTTTTCAACCCAGATTGGTATAAACCTGGTCGGCTAAAAACGCTAATAGAAAACAAATAACGCTACAGATGACGATACAAATCGGAATGAGTAATCACTGAGAGAGCACGATAAAATTTATTCTCGAATGTTTTCATTCAAATAAAATTTTTGTTAATTATTTAAATTATACGTGATAATCTTTATTTTAAATTCATAACTCTATGAATAAAGAAAAAGAACATAAAATATCTATAAACAACAATAAATAAAAAAAAATTAACACACTATATATATATATATATATATATATATATATATATTGCGTTTTTTAACTAATTCTCAATTTTATTTTATGTGTGCATGCGTGCATGCGTGCGTGCGTGCGTGCGCGTATAATGAAATTATATTATTATTTTCATGTATGTAAGGATACATGTAATTAAATTATTATTTTTTATGTGTAATAAGATCAATACAATATCTAATAATATGTAATATATTCATACGGCATTCTCTTGTAATTTATGAATTTATATTCTCGTCCTTTTAAATTAATTTTATACTATTATTTGAAATTAAAAGTCTTGTACTTTCGCTATTTAAAAAATTAATAGTTTACAAGATATTTTATGTCAATTTGTGACAGAATAAGGTATAAAATATTTCGTATTTAAATATTTTATATTGACTTTTTGATTATATTGTCTACTTCAATACTTTTATGTGTAAAATAATCGGAGGAATCGTATTATGTAAAAAATATCCTGGTTACATGGTACTTTCAAAAAGTTTCGGAACTGAATATTTCCGAACATACGACGCTACACTTATGTTTCAATAATTGAACTAGTTAGCGTGAAACTTTGTGATTCTCCCATATTTTTTGCGTAGAATAAACAATTTATGTGCAGTATGTGTATGTGTATGTCAAGTTTGTAAGATTGGCTTGTCGCGATTTTTTACGTGGGACAAAGAACCGCAATAAAGTTTTGTTTCAAATATGAGAAAAGTGCATAAGAAACGTTTGCAATGATGCGAAGTGCTCTTCATATTTCTCGAAATATTCTATTACATTTGAAATTTTTTATGTATACGGGCAAATAAATCAAAAAGTTTTCAATTTTTTTGTAACCGTTTTGTAATTTTCATTAACAAAAAATTAATTACATGGTATGTATGGCTGTGTTCAACAGAATACAACAGTTTTGCAATTTTGATGATTCTCTGCTGAGATAGGACCATTCCTCTTTGAAAGCATAACCCAATCATGAAGAAAATTTCCAACAGTTGCAAAATAAACGTTCTGCTGAACGCAGCCAATACCATACATTACCAGCTTATTTGCGATTATAGGTTATAGATTATATCATATTTCCAGTTTATTTGCCGGCTTATGTTCAATGATGCTATTATATTTTCTGTGTTATTGTATAATAAAATATGTGAATAAAAATAAAAATGTGAATTATTTTTAACTATTTTTCTTGATCGATTGTGTAAATAAACAAATTTGTAAATGAACACAATAAACTTCATATATTTATTGTGTTCATATATTGTGTTATTAATCAGATCTGCAACCCAGTTACATATTTTGACTGATTTTGCCTATCGTCATCTCCATTCCTTTTGTTTCGTAACATTCAGACCGTGCGTGGAGACATAAAATCGAACTCAAGAATGATATTAATCGTAACCTATATAGCACGTAATATCATGATAATATTACAGCAATATCAATTTTCCATTGCATATTATAGTAATAGAAATATCGCTGAAATATTATTGAGATGTCACAGTATTACAATGTCCGCGAAAATAAATCAGAGGAATATTATCTGAGATATATTACAGAAATGTCACTATAATATTTTGAAATATTTCCGTGATACGTATATAATGTTTATATTTATGTAATATTTATTGAAAAAAATTACATTTTAAAGAATTTTTTATAAAATTTATTAAATTGGTATTTTTAATGTTATTTTCAAAATTATTCCATATTAAAGGAATGCTGGAGTGATCAATTGTCGGGACTTTGCGGATCGATATAAATTTCTGAATTTATTGAACGGAAACAAAAATTTTTTTAGGATTAAAACAGATGAAAAATTCGAAGGTGCTGCAGTGGACTTTATACTAAATCGAAAGAAAAGTTAAAAACTTACATTTTTTTATCTCATAGAGATCTGACGTAGATGTTTCCTCAATACAAAAGTTTTACAGCACGTATGAACAAAACGACAGTTCAGCACCCAGCGTTTCACATATACAATCAATACTGAGTTTATGGAACTAAAATTGAAAGCTTAAAAAGAAAGATTTACATCGATCTACAAAAATTACGTGTATACGAATGCTGAGCGAAGACTCGGAATGGTAAACAAAGCAATAATTTTGTCTAGCAATAGGTGTTCGATCTTGCAAAAGATGGCGTTGCAACATTTTAGATAAAGATAGTTTTGTGTGTTTGACAGAATGTTAATGTAAAAAATGAATAAAAATGTCACTATTATAGACTTTTTTTATTTGGAATTAAAAGAATATGTAATATCAACATCGATTAAGTTTGGCCATTACTCCAGGGGTGATATTCTGTAACTGTTTTACACATCGACAGTTGTGGATGTCGTTGCGCAGATATTTTATATGGTGAAAAAGCTGCGCAACGACACCGATAACTGTCGATAGGTAGCGTGTAAAACAGTTACAGAATAGCACCCCAGCATCCCCTTAATTAGAAAATAATAATGATCTTCAATATTACTCACTATTTACTTATATTATTATTATATAATTCTTATATTATTACTATTACAAGTATTAAATTTTGATTACTATTAATTATCTTCAATTAGAATAATATAACATTTATTTACTATAATTTCACTATAAATTTACTAACACATTTACATAGAACTAAATTATAAAATTTCTTTCTTTGCTTTCCAAACTATAGCTACATGCTGAAGAATTAATAAAAATTATGCTCGTTATTTTATTCAAAACTTCATCAACATTTTTCTGTAATAATCATTAAATATGAAGCAGTAAGCACATTTTATTTATAAAAATCAACAATATAAAAATATATATTTATGGTAGAATAATGAACCGTCACCATTCAAGCCAGTATATTACAGCCAGTTGACTATCAGTACTAAAAATTTGTAATATATGTAACGGGAACTATAAATTTTCAGTACTGATAATCAATATGGTAATAATATGTATCATATGTGTAATAAATATATATGTATCAATTAAAAGTCTGTATTTTATATTGGAATAATGTTAATTTTAACATTTTACAACTGTCTTTACCCTACATGTGTGTGTACACATAATTTTGTGATATCTTAATAATTAACATCTTAATGACGTCTTTAACATTAAGTAAACATTGTAGAAACGTTATTAATTATTATAATATATAATACATCACTCTGCCTCCTTAATATGTTATATTACTGTGATTGTAGCAATACTATTGTGACATATCACAAAAATATTATGTGATATTTCAATGTTATTTATTGACACATTGATTAATATATCAGTAATATTTCTGTGATATTACACTGTAATATGCAATATTTTGATATTTTACAATATTGCTGCGATATTACTGTGATATTACATGCTATACAGGAACTCATACAGGTCATTATAGGATTATAGAACTTTGAAACATATTGCCTCACATTCACTGTTTACAAATTATTATTATTATATTATTATTATTATTATGTTAGACACTCAAAAATAATACTTCAAAATAGAACACGTGCGTTAATTAAATTTGCATACTAAAAAAAAAGATCAAAAAAATCATTTTTAATAAATAAATTGAATTTCTAACATAATAATTATAATTATAATTATAATTATAATTATAAAAATTTGAATTTTAAACAGTGAATGTGAGGCAATGTGTTTCAAAATCCTTCCTTTTAAAAGGAGTGAGGATGACGATAGGCAAAATTAGTCGAAATGTGTAACTCGACTGCAGGCCTATATTATTTACTAGAGGAAAGCTCCCTATTATGAGATAGGCACTTAATATGAGATAGAGGTGTTTCCGCTAAATTAATAAACGTTATCTATTGATTCATCATGAATTTATTGCTTTTGGATTGAAAATTATTTAGAAAAATTCACTATTAGATCATGTCTGCAGTTATTTTAAAAAAAGATTTTAGAATTTGGATGTTTTCAAATTTCATTGAGATGAGTCTTTAAACCTTATTTATTATTTAATAAGTAAATATTTGGCAATAAATTCTTCATGTAATGATAGAGTAAGATCATACTAATAGAAAAATACGGGATATGTTGAATTGCTTAAAAGTAACATTTGATGATCGTAAAACCGTAATGCGTAACATGAGATACTAAGGGTATTTCTAATATGAAATAATTTAACCTATGCTCCTATGTCAGTGAAAATCGTTACTAAAGTATAAATGTTATTATGCAATAATAAAAAAGACACTCGGAATCAACATCGAGTGCTCATTTTTGTGATGCTTGGTTCCAACTATTGAAGACGAGTCCTAAATACAATGCATCACATGCTCATTTTGCGCGCGCACTGGCTGTGTCTATTTGCATTTTAGAAACATTAAATAAAGTTTTTTATTTAATTGCAATACTGATGTACTTTGCGTTTTATTATCAATTTCTCAAGACATCTCATATTAAGAGCACAATTTTTTGACTTTGCAATTTGCTTACTTTTACATTTTTTTAATTAAAAAAAATAGAATTTTAATTAAATTACATAATATTATCTTAAAACTTATTAAATTCCTTTCAAAATGACCTATTATTTTTTTAATTCCGTCCATACATTTCTGGCATTTACCCAAACACGGTATCTCATAATAGCTCTTTCCTCTACTATTACTTAAATTTCATCGGTATTCCATATTACATCTCATTTTTTTAGATCCACCCCCTCTATTTTCACTTTTTTATTTTTTTGTTAATATTGACGTTAAACTTAAATTTTGAAAGACTTTCATTTATTCGATTTTGTAACTAACATATTCCTTAAGAGTTCAGTGTAAATATAAAATCTTCATATGCATCTATATCAAAGCAACGTTAATTTAAAAAACGCTATTCTATATTCTCTACTTTTACTCTATCTATTTTTTTCATTTCTAAATAAAACGCAATAAAATTGCGTATCCGATTATATAGGGTATCCGGTAAATTTTGACAAAGTGCTCATGTATAAATAGAACGGACTAAACTGAGTTGAAAAGTCCTTTCTCATTTTGCAATTTTCGCAACAGTTAACAAGATATTAATTACTACAAATCGCTGAATATTGATTTTCAATAATTTTGTACTCAAATACTTTATGGAAAAATAGCGAGAAACAAAAAGTGTATATTTTCTTCTCATAAAGTTCAGAGAATTTTTTCAAAATTTATCATCATTTTTTAATACCGCATTTTTTTTATTATATATTATAAAATTATTTTTACCAACATGAGAAAATACGATATTAAAGCTTTATCTATACACAAGCGTTTTGTCGAAATTTACCGGACATCCTGTATATTATACTGGAACTATGTTTATATGTTCGCTGTTTTAATATCTTTCCAAAAGATGATAAATCTTGATTTTAATACCGTTTATTCGTGAAATTTTTGTCTACACTAAGAAATAAATCCAAAATACTGCAATGGCAGGTATAAGTTTGCAAATTTATTTGAATATTTCAAATAAAAATATATAATATTCGTGAACAAAAGAGCGGAAACAGAAAATATTCTTATTTTCTGAATTATAAACAAATCCTCGAATTGTATGCACAGCGCTAACATAAGCACCTGCATGCGCATGATGCTATCATCCGACAATGGCCAAAGAGGCCGCGGGCGTGGTCGGCGGCCACGTTGCAAGCGTATCGCGCGCAGCCCGCTTACCCCCCGTCGGTATTGCTACTGCTACCATCTCCGCTCGTCTTCGCATACCATGCCGAAACCCGCGCGGCCGCCTCCACGTGTACGAGTCGCATTTTTTTATAGCGATCACCGACCTCGTCCAACTCGGCGCGTAGTAAGTAAGGACGTTGAGAGTTACATCACAAGAGGAACACGTAGCGGCACATGACGATAATCGCGTATGATGCGCTCTTTCTTTCGTTTTTCCTTCTTTTTCTCCTATTCTCCCTCTCATCCCTGTAATCATTCTCCTTCTTTTCGTATTCTCTTCCTATATTCATTTCTATAGCTATTCATTTTCTTGATGGAGCTCGTACTGATCGGCTGATCATATGACGAATATCACAACTCATGAAAGGGAATACGCAAAAATTGTATTGATCCACGAAAACATCCCCCATACTGAGGGGAAATTTCATCCTACAGTCAAACCGTCACATCGCTACTCATGTCCGGAAGACATTTTCGTGCCGAATTTTATGAAACTGTGCAACTCTTCCTCTTCGTAATTCAAGTATTCTCGCAATCATTTCTAATTGTATTAATTTTGCAGATTTTCGCAATAATACATTTTAAATTATTATAATATAAACCATAAAAAATATTTAAAAATTTAAAATCAAATTAATATAATGCCAGCGAACTAATGATTGGCAATTTGAGTTATATATAATTATAAAAGTATAATAAAAATATAATAAAAATAAAAGATTATTATACAAATAATTTACTTATATCATATATGCATATAAAAAAATGATTCTATTAAGAATGAGTTTAGTTTAATATTATACTTATTCTAAGAATATTCTAAGAATAAAAAACTTTTAATAATCTGATAAATGTTTGACATAAATTAGATTTTAAAGAAATGATATAAATTCATATTGATAATTATGTGTTCAGTAAAAAAATATGCCCGTTATCGATATGCGTGTACGCATAAAAGAAAATGAAACAAAATCAGGAACTGAATACGAAGACGCGCTATTCTGTAGTTTGGAAAATTAATGACAGTTCCTCGTGCTTCTTGTTGTCTATGTTCCGTATGCTTCGTATTCAAAATCAAAATGACAATTTTTTTATTTTAAATACGATCTTATACAGCATGAAATATTTTAGAAATATTTCTAATATATTTCATTACAATTTTGAAACATTTAAAAAATTTTTATAAAATAGTTTTGAAATATAACTATGTCCGGAGGAAATCAGAATTTTTGAAATATTTTTTTTCTTATAATATTTCTACAATATTTTTGCAAAATATTTTAATGCAATATTTTAAAGTGATTTACAATTTTTTATAAAATATTTCTAAAATATTTTATTAAAATGTTTCAAAAAACGATTCACATGAATATTTCATGCTGTGAGATGTTATGAAAAACACTGCATTCAATTTAATTATTTTCTTATAACACTCAAAAAATCTAGAAGCTCGAAAGTGGCAAGTTTAAATATCTACAGATAAGGATTTAAAAATAAAAAACATTAGTCGTGAGAATTCATAAAATTACATGAAAAAAGAATACGCGGATTCGGGAACACAAGGAAATAATCTAAAAAATCCAAAGACAGTTTTCGTTAACAGAACTTGCGATGTCACTTTTAAATAAGTATCAAAGAAAGAGAGATGAGATAAATAAAAGAAGAATCAGGCTAAGTATTCGGATGGAGAAGCACCCACCTGCAACCTAGGGTGTAACCTGTCACGTTACATCTTAGTGTAATCCAAAATCTGAACACTGGTTATCATCTTTCGTTTCAGCGATATCCGGAGGAGGATTTGTGGCAACGATAATGGCGAGTGATTCGTGAAATTCTGATTTGGATCCAATTATCCGGAAGGAGTGATTCATAAAATTCCGATTTTGATCCAATGATCCTCAAAGAAGAACTGGAGGAACTCACACGAGAGATCGCATAAACTCGGAAAGAAAGAAAAGAAGTCGCACCTTTCCTCTTCTTCCCGTAAGAGACGGGTCAAGACGAAAAAGCAAAAGACCCGCCGCCTCGGGGCCGGCCAATCGTACTGTACAATGTTTACCTCCTCGGTCGCACCGATCACAGCCAAGGCGCATACGCACGAGCGCGCAATCCGTTTCCCACCTCTCCTCTTCGCATCAATCCTCCCCTCGCCCGTCGTCGCACTATCGCCTACTCGTCTCATCCGCACCACCTATCCCCGCTTCGCCACCGCCTTCCGTTCTTCGCGAACCGACGGCGGCGACCTACAATTTGGGGCGGCTGAGTGTTGCTCAGCAGCACGTGGAGGTTGTCGGCGTGGTCGGCGCAACCTGACTCGCGCGTGCAATTTGCCACGATAACGCGCTTAGCAAGGGGCAAAGGGGGAAAAGCACGACGGATGACAGTCACGGGAGAATGCACAGGCGTAATCAGCATTCGCTACTCCTTCATAAGTCTTGACGCGTCCCATTGAGGTTGATTATTTTTTTAAATTTAATGTTTGTAACATTAACCATAATATTTTTCTTTCAGTTCTAGTATGCAAATGTGTAATTGACTCTCTTAATTTATAATATAGTAATTTTATAATGATTTATCATTTATAATTATATATCATTTATATTTATCATTTATAATGATAGTAATTAATTAACTATTCGAAATATCTTTATAATATGATGTCTTAGAATCTAGAACCCTTAATTGAGAATATATCTATTGTTATCAATTTAAACTACAAAGAAATATATGATAGATATTGATGTATCATGTTGTATAATGCAAGAATTTGTTATTGTCGCACCTTATCATCATGCTACTATTGTTGTTCTCAACAATTTTAATCAGTAACGTACTTGTTGCAGGTAGTAAAACATAGTCGCCGTTTATATCAAATAAGGCAATGATACTTATCAATAGTTCATGTTGATTCGTATACGGACTATATTGGTGGCTTTATTTCAAAGTTTAAGTAATAAAATTTCTTATTCTCACTAATTAATGCATATTATTATTATAACGGCAATTCTAGTCTATGAAAATAATCTTTACTTCAGCTCATGAAGACTAATATTGATCGTAAAAAACAATATTAGATATATAATGTGTTCAAACATCATTCAAATATGTAAACTAACAAAAATTTAGAATTTCGAATAAAATATACGAAAAAAACATGCCATTTCTTTATAAATTACACATGACAAATGATGATTTTTTTAAACATAAAGGTTTAAAATTTACATAAAAAATGATTTAATTTAATCCTTCAGAAAAAGCTCTGTTCAATTAAGAATACATCAGAAAAAATTTTCTCAATATCTAACAAAAATTTAACATATAATCTTCAATATAAAATGTTGTATAAAAGCATTTAAAATTAATGGGAGATACTCCATACGATACTGTAAAAATGTCTTCACGTACGCCATTGCTTGAAAAGCAAAAAAGAAATAGAATAAAATAGAAAGGACGAAAAGAATATGTGAAATTGAAGAACGAGGATAGCGAAAGAGACAAAGGGTAGCGGAAAGAGAAAGCAGGATTGCAAAGGAAAGCTATGTAAAGGGTGCAAAAGACGCGGTGACCTACGAACTTTTCACACACGTGCGGTCATGAATCTATCTTGCCACATGTATGCGTTCGTGCTTGCGCTCGCGAATCTAATTCCTGTTTGTCAGTGGTCCAGTTTCCCCATAAAAGCATTAATTCGCACTTAATATGGTAGAATCAAAATTTAAGTCGATGGAAATGTATATGACTATGCTCATTTTTTCCTGCTTCGATCCACAAGATGGAATTCAATTTTCAATGGAAACAATACAATGCACCAAAGTGAATTGAAGACTTCAGTGAAGAAACTAGACCAGTGTTGCTTAACCGCTCCCACGATCTTATAACTTTATCAAATCCTACAATCATGAGGGATTCTCCTAATATTGATCTTCCCTGTTAAACTTTTTGACAAGATATTAACGAAAATACATCTTCAATTTTTTCCCTTTATTTATATTGTGCAGTTCTATAAAGAGAGAATCATTTCACGCTATAAGCACATATTGTTTCGTAGCACATATACTTAGACGTCTTATCATTTTAAATATTTATCATGTATGATATATATGAGTGATTTAATTTTTTCTTAAAAAAATTTATATGTATATATATATATATATGTATATATTTTAATAGCAAAATCTATATACGATATATTAAGAAATATTATTTTCTGGAATATATATATCAATTTAATCGTAGTTTAACTAATTCTTTTTTTTATTTCAGCATTTGAAAAGAAAGAAAAACTCAATTCTTATCTAATTTTAATCTTTGATTAATGATATGATACTATTAAAATAGTGAGCCCTAATATTTTTAATATGGATAGTTAACAACTTCATTATTTGCGCTCTTTTTAATACAATTCAAATAAAGCAAAACACACAAACAAAGCTTACACTATTCGCGTGAATCTAGATTTATTAAAAAATGTATCACAAATATATATACAAAATAACAATAATTTTTTAAAGATAAGAAAAGAAATAAAATTATACCTAAGAGTTCTGTTGAAAAATAAAGAGTAATAAAATTATTTTCGAGAATTTTTCATGAGGAAATAATGTCTCATGTTAAAGAATGACCATATTAATTGTTTAAGGATTCGCGAAAATGATTAAGTTATAATTATGCCCATGACAGGTTAAGTATTTTGAAATGTTACTATACGATTTTGTTTTAGACATAGATATAAATGGAAGGAGAATTGTCTACGCACATGTATCGAGTCTGAAGCCAACATCTGTGCGAAAGAGAAAGCTAGAGAGTCCCAAATGTCCGCAATTGCGTCCGCGTATGCGTACTATCGTGTAAATTATGTAAGAAATAAGCAACATCACGAAATCAGGGCGCTCCGGCATTCGAACCGAGGCCTAATCTCCACATTGGTAGACCTCCGTCCTGCCATCGAGCCGCACAGCGCTAACGCTGATAGCTTCTCTATTGTGCCTATTTTCTCTAAATTTCTTACAGTTCAGCCAGCCTGAAATTGCATCCGTCCTGGATGTTCAATCCTGAGCGCAATATTGTAACAAAGTCCTTATAAATTCGACCAACCTAACAACGATGATTGAAATGTTTCCATAGCATTTTCCTGTCATATTCGGGTGACAATTTTTTTCCAGAGTCGTCTTTATGGCATACCTCGCGATCTACTGAGCGACCATCTCTAATTCGTGTTCTTCCATCAAGGCATCCATTGGTCATCTTGAGCAATTTACAAATTCTGTCCGTTATGAGTTCCAATTTTATGAATCCCCTTTTTACGAATCATTCCGAGCACACTTCGGTATCTTTGCCTCTTGCCGGCTTCAATTCCTAGGGCAGTTGGCTCCAAAACATTTATCTTTTAAAATCCTAGTCCTGTTTCCCTGAGGGGTAGCAGACACTGAGCCACACAACCCTGATGCTGACAGCTTCTCTGTTGTATTTCCTCTAAATTTCCTTCTAAATTTCTTACAGTTGTTTTAATGTTCCTCGTGATATTGACAACAAAGTGAAACGAAATAGAACGGAGGAAAATGGACTGAATGGCACATATAGTACGCATAATTACATTCCATTGGGACTTTATAGTTTTTTCTCTCACATAGATGTTGTCTTCAAGTTCAGCACTCAATTGCTCTTTCATTTATATATGTTCTAAGGGTTTTATTCATCATCGTTTGTGTTCAGCAGAGAAAGCAGCTTTGTAACTGTTGTAAAATTCTTCAATACGATTGATTCTTACTTTTGATTCCTTCCAAATTTGAACGTATAAAATCATATTGAAGAATTTTACAACATTTGGAAAGCTGCTTTCTCTGCTGAATACAGCCATTGATGGCAACGCGCGCGCGTATTCGTGCGTGTATGTACTCGCTATATAAAAATCACTAGTTGTATAACTGGTGGGGTAACGTTTATCTTTCGTTTTCACCATACTCTGCTTTGTCTCTTTTTTTTTAAAAGTAGCATATGATTCACGTGATAGCTATTATATTTATCAAAGTGATTAAATGGCAAACGAAAAGCCAAAGATAAAAGAAAAGACTACATTTTCGTTGTGAGAAAACAAGAAAACACAACATTCGATTAAACTTTTTTTTCATTTGTACATACTATAAAACTATTGTAAAAAAAGCTTTTATATATTTGTAAAATTTCTAGAAGTTTTTGTATCTTTCGATATCAAATATCTTAGGCATTGCCTTCCTATTATCCAAACCAATGCAAATTCTCTTTTTTTTTTAATAAAAATCTCGAAAGAATTCTCTATATAAATCTTGAATTAAATGTTTTTAAAATTTTGAAGGATTCAAACAATAATAGACAATTTACATAATTTAAGATCAACAACAACAATAATATATTAATAATAATTAATAAATGAGTAGAGAATAATGTGACATTTACTGTTTATTAAATTTTACATAGATTTTATTCAAATATAAAATTCAAGCATTAATATATTTTAAATTACGATTAAAATCTGAACATTAGTAATAGTTAAATTTTTTAAATTATGTAGAAAGAAAACATTCCAATGAATTGCAAATGATGTAATCTAAAAATTTGAATTAACTTATAGCTAATCTAAAATTTAACGATCTCAAATAAAATCACAAAATCACGAAAATCACAAAAAGATTCGAGAATAATATACATCAAAAATTCTGAAATTCCAACAATAATGTGAGAATTAAATGCATCATAAATTACATTCGATGCAATGATGTTTGTATTATCTAACGGTTTCTTTTTTCTCTTTTTTTTATTGCTTTCATCAATCGGTGGACTATAGAAAGAATCTTGAACATAGACACATTAATTTGCATTCATATAAGCATTTAAATTATTATCATTAAATGCCAATAAATGTATGCTTTCAACCATACACAAAAAAATATAGTAAAAGTAATGATAAAGTTTCTCTTATTTTAAGATACATTCACTGAAAAAAAAATATTGTTGAATCAACAGCATCAGTTTAATTGGAAATAATTTTGTTAATTCAATGACAGTATTAATGAAACAAATCCCAGGTAGCAAGGTATCATCTATTTAACATCATTCTTATGACGAATGTGACGATTAAAATGACGTCCAAACATCATAAAAATGATGTGAATTTGTCACAGGTACATAAGTTGACGTCAAAAAATATTTTTTCATGTTATTGATGGTAACAATTAGGTGTCGTCCATTTGACGTCATTAATTAGTTATTCTTATGACGAATCTATATGGTTCCCGAGACAAAGTGAAAATTACAAAAATGATCAAATTTGGTAGGTGTTGAAGTTATAAATATTCTAGTAAATTCATAATTTCCACTTTATTTTAAGAATCATAATAAACTCCGTGATGTCTAAACATGTAATCGTAAAAATGACATCAATTCTTATATTTCTTATCACTCACACAACGTCATAAATATC